GTCCTACGACTATGAAATACGAGTGTTCACACGAAGAGTTAATGCCTCCACCTACTCCTTTCCTGCCCACATTACTTTTCAGTATTGTAAAATTGTTTCACAATCTGCAATTTTCTGCCGGCTACATTTCTGTTCCGGTTCCGCATTTTCAGTATAATTACCTCGTGAAGATACAATCCACGCTGAATAGTGTCGGAAGAACTACCAGCCTTATTGGTCAAAGGGATTTTCAAAGATGTTATTCGGGTTGGAGGGGACATTTGCAACTTCGCCAGTTACTTTCAATAATTCGTGTCAAGAGGTTTGAAACCCTTGTCAAACAGCGAACTGGACGAGTGAGTCATGTTGTTCGTACACAAGGCGTCCTTCACAAACCTACAGTTGGCTGAGTTGCCCCCCCCTAAGCCTTATTACGCCAATTTTCATCACGTAAATCTAGTTCAGCGCCCTTTCCGTAATGAAGCTGGCAACGTCTCCTTGTCCCCGGTCTAGCGTTGACTATAAACGGTCAGATACTTTCCAGAACAATAATTGACACAGTGCATAAATGGAAACTAGCACTTATAAATAAATCAATTTTTCAATGTACTGCATTTCTATTTTTTTTCTTTTGTTGAAAATCTGCATTTGTCAATGTTAAGGATTCAAGTGCATGAAGAACTGTAATGGAGCGGAAGGAAAGTGCGCCAACGTGATAACCCTATTTACCCGGTTAGTTCCTGAAATAACAGATGCTATAATTTTATGGTTTCCGTTCTGATTTGCTTAGAAGTAAGTCTCTTGAAGATCTCTAGATTTGTTTTAAATTTCCGATTACTTACTATGTCATTGAGTCCATTTTTTGACGTTAAAGAAATGGGTACTAAGCTGTTGAAGGCCATAATGGCGAGATTAGATCATGCTAGCGCGTCCGTGTCCTCTCACGGAGGCGTTTTAGGTTCAATGATCCTTTCCCAACCTTATGAGCCTTAGAGAGCGCAGACGAAGGACATGGTCTAGCCTCGCCCACGGGAGATGGACAAAACAATCGCAATTTGTCGCTTCGTCGCGCGCGTATATCGTGCGGTGATGCGCGGCGAATCATCCACGTTTATGAGTTTGTCAGTTGGAGCACTGAGACTCGTATGAATTCAGACGGCGACAAGCAACATGAAATTTTACCGTCCGCGCAACCCTTAAGATTCAAACGACCGGGCAGGAAAAATCGTCCAGGGAGCGCAGCACCGCTCGTCACGCCCAACAGCGCGGCATGTAACGATTGTCTTATCACCTACCACTCGCCAGCTGACCTCCTAACTACTGTAGCGCTGAGACGTGTTTATCCTTCTTCTGACCATTGTAAAAGGTAAATCACATTTTACGTCTAACTAGTGTAGCATAGCTTTTCGCCCCATTCCCTGTTAGAAAACTCTTGTTTGCTTCTGAACCAACAGTAATCGTGGAATCAATAATTTATGTATTAATAGTTCATAATTTTGTATTCTCATAAATCATAAAATTAAATCTATGGCCGTTGTTCAGCACATCGACTGTGTGCTAATGTAGAGTGGCGATTTTCCGCACGATAACCGTGAACCTCGTTGCCTTAGTGAATCACACCGAGTCCCTGAATGGCACTTATTTTATCGGAGCAACAGCAAACGGTTCACACGACCACATTCCGTGATAACCTGGATGATGCAAGAGACTGCGTTGACTATTGCAATTTCCTTGATACGCAACCACAGCAGCTCGTTAACAGAGTCTCCACCCATGACATTATCACGGACTCTCACATGTAGCCAACCTTCAGGGTTATATTTTTAATCATCACATCTTCCAGTACAGCTTGTAACCGGGAGTTCACTTCTGTGGCAAGCTGCAGTGATCTCTTATCGCCGCCTGCAGTAAAAATCGACCCCATCAACGAGTAGGAAGCACCTTTGCGCGATAACGGGACCTGCAATGAGTCACATTTAGTACATGTCATCTTGCGAAGATACTTTTCACTCGCCATAAAAGTGGTTTCATTTCATAGGTACATTCTGCGATTATCGAAAAGGCGGAGACTCACAACCATACGTGTCTTTCCCATTGGTGCACCCTTCTAGTGTCCTAGTACGATAAGGCCATTTGCGACTCGGGAGAATGGGCGTTTTAATAAAATCGCCGTTTCGAGCGAATGCGCCCAAAGGAAAGTATATGTAGGTATCGATCGGCGCCGCTCGCTAGCGTTTTAAGCGAATCGACGTTTTAGACATCAATCGATACCTATACTATCATCCGCTCACTACATCGATTCTCTCAAAAAGCCGATTCTGCTCAATCGCAAAGTGTGAAAACACCCTTGAGAAAAAGCGCACCAACGATGAAGGCGCAGTGGTTATGAGTCACCGCCCAACCGATTGTTGCGGAATATGCCTAACACTGAAGTAGGTAAGCTGCACAGTACAAAATGAATACGGCTTTTTTATTTCAAGGAGAAATTTGTGGTGGCGTGCATCATGAAATATCAATAGTGCAACAATTCAACAAAATCATAACTCAGAGTTACACTTCAGGGACACCACATCATAGCTCAACTTACCTGCACAATTTCGCAACAGTCCATTAACTACAAATCATTAATGTTTCAAGCAATAAAAAGGGCATGTAAAAAAAGTTGACGCACCTTGTCTAGAGAACCATCGGATGGTAGTAATAAAGAGGCTTCTTCACGCAGTGCATAATGTTGGATTATCCTGGAATTACCATTTGAAAGGGAAAGCCATAAGCGGTGTTTGAAAGGCTTGAGCGCTTTTCAGACGTCCAACAGCGGATCTGCTTTACCAAGATCACTGTACAGTCTTGTTCGCTGCGGATGCAGGGGCATGTCAATGGGACTGGATCTGGCGCGGCATCATCCCCTTCTCGACCAGCTGTTGAAGAGGAGAAGCGATAACAGTTGGTGAAGAAGGGGCTGGCGCCGCGCCAAATCCAGCCTCTGACTAGCCTCAGCAAAGAAAAAAACCAATATCCCGGGACATGACGATAAAGAAACGACTGGATAACAAAAAAGTCGAAAGAGGGGGACGCAGGCCCGACAATGGGCTAGCAGAAATGAATAACACTTCATGGGAGGAGCGAGTTGACTTCGTACGAATGGAGACTCAATGAATCAGTAAAAGAATGTAAGATACTATCATCGAGAACAGAAGAGTATACAGTGTAGCGCTATTGTGAAACTAAGCTCCTCAGCTGAAGATCGACACGTATGCTATCCTTTTGCAAATCTTCGAGTGCCAGTACCATTCACCGAAGCACGAGGTTTTAACACGGCTCAAGCGCTTGCAGGAGTTGTTACAGTCGCGGAAAAAAAAACTTGGAACAAGCCCACGTCGCGCGTTTTTCACTACTTTTACATACAATTCTTAAGTGCACATGAAAACTTTGTTTGCTCAAATCAAGTACGCCTTAAAATGCTATTCTAAAAAATAAAGTTGGTTGATTAAATTCGTTACCGGGACAGAATTTTGAAGATTATTGCGATGCGGCATGCCGCTGCCACTCTGATATTGGACCGGTTTTCAAAGTTTCTAATGCTTTGGGAACAACATAGGTTTCTCGAGAGTTGTAAAAAAAGAAATGGAAGAAGGGAGCGAACACTCAGACAGGTGTGATCTTCTTCCGATGGATCGCAAAGCATTAGAAACTTTGAAAACCGGTCCTATCAGAGTGGCAGCGGCATGCCGCATCGCAATAATCTTCAAAATTCTGTCCCGGTAACGAATCTAATCAACAAACTTATTTTTTGGAATAGCATTTTAAGGCGTACTTGATTTGAGCAAACAAAGTTTTCATGTGCAATTTAAAAATTGTATGTAAAACTATCAAAAAGCGCGTGACTTGGGCTTGTTCCAAGTTTTTTTTCGCTTCTGTAGGTGATAAAAGTGTATCATGGCCGCATTTGAGGTTAAGGGAACAAGTAAAAGCCCGTTCCAACTAGCTCAATCATGCCGCGTTCATACTTCGCCACTTTAACCGCTCGACTGCAATCGACCGCGCTCCACCGCTAATCGTTAGACCGCTGCAACTACCAATTCAGTCGCATTCAGGATAGAACTTTTCTCGGCCAATGCAGCGGTCCAGCTGTAAGCCGTGAAATGGTTAGGACGGTCAATTCCTAATCGCGCGATAATGTCGCTCAAGTCGAGCATACTCGCGGCGTTATGATAAATAGCTGGACTCACTTTGTTTTCTTTTGCAATTCCTCTAAGCAGTGCCGTACGTGTTCTTCCAAGAACTCGATTTTATCGTTTCTTCGAGCGAGCTTCTTTTGTAATACAATAATCTGAACGAAAGTTTTGAAGTTTACAACAAATGACGTTCAACTTCCATAGTGAGTACTTACCTTATCTATCATAACTTGTTGAATAGCATTGGCCTCTGCTGATACATGCGCTGATTGAGCACTGTCCTCATCTCGCGAGGTCGTCTTAACAGCTATGATTACTAGGTACAAAATAACAAGCTGTACTGAAGTGAACTTAAAAACTATATCATACCGTCACTCTGTCAAGGCTGTTTAACGAGCTTGCTCTCGATCGCGAGCTTGTACTTGGCACTGAATCACCCGATGGAGGTGGGGCTAGTGGAGCACTGGTACTATTTGAATCTACTTGTTTTCGCAGAGTGGATAGTTCGTGCTTTAGCTCCTAAATAGTGCTAGATATGCATTGAGCTGGAATATCTACTTAGAAACAACATAAAGTAGGGCAGGTCATGCGTTGGAGATCCCCACCAGGAGCCGTATTTAGCCGTCAGAGGGAGGTGTCATACTCATTCGCCGAAAGTGTCTCGTTGACTTTTCTCGATCTTTCCCTTTTCACATGCGCTATCTACGCCACCCGCCCTCTTTTCCTTCTCCGCTTTTCGTTTTCTGGAGAAAACTGGAGAATTTCCGAAAAGGATAGGAAAGCAGGGGGAAAGTTTGCACCAGAGTATGAAATTGCGAAATGGTCGTATTTTACGGAATTTCTCTCAAACGGCCGGACTTGCCGTGACTTAAAGACATACTTCACATTCACATGAGATGCGGGGTTCTTCTCGATCGTACCCCCGACAGGTCTACATTGCAGAAATATGCCCTGTGCCATCCGGAAATGCATGGAAGTTATAATCCTGTCACTGCTTCAATGTCGCTGCGGTCTCCGCCCACCATTCGATACGCCTAACGCCCGCGTCGTGCTTACCTTAATCTTATCACCATGATAGTGGTTGGGGGTAAGGCAGCGGCTTCACGATGGCAGCGCTTCGATCGCGCGTTCGACGCGATCGATGCAGTAGAAGGCATGCGCGACCGAAGCCGAACGCGCGACCGTAGCGCTGCCTTCGCGAAGTCTGAACGCTGCCTAAGGCGGAGATGTCAGCAGCATCAATTAATTATAAGCCTCCGGTTCCTACAAAGCAATTTCCAGTTGCAAAGGGATAGGATAGCTTCTGCTGTCGCACACCTGCCCCCTTAAACACGGAATACCCCCCCCCACTCTCAGATGGTCGCAAAATGGTCTTTGAAGCAAATAGAAGTCGAGTAGTTCATGAGTAGTGTCCCATTTGACCGTTTGCGTTTTGTTTTCTTATAGGGAAGGCATCAGGCACGATGGCTGGGGCGGACCGTTGTCGCCAACGTCACTGGTGGAAGGGCTGAGTGGGGTGTGGCCAAAAGCCTTCTCGCAGCCCTTCCACCAATGATGCTGTCAACGCGGCTCCAGCAATCTTGCCCACTGCAACTCAGAATAACGATGTACCTTAATATTGGCCATATACTTCTTTTTGAGCGCTGCCTTATCTGTAGTCTCTTCTTGTAACCGCTGAGTCAGTTGTTGAACTGAAATACAATTTTCCTTTTTTTACCTTTATGTCTATATGAGATAAAACAGAGCTCATACCTTTCACAATCTTCTCATTGAGTTCACTTTTCAATGACGCGATCTCACTCTGCCCACTTCCTGTAGCCTCTTCAAGATCTTTTTCCTGGAACGATTCATACTGTAGCAGGACGCATCCGTAGAAATCATACTCTTAAGAATCCATCGAATACCCTTTCTGACAGCTTCAGAAGTGCACGATTCAACGAGCCGTCAGTCTCCACAAGTTGCTGCTCGAGACGGCAGTTCTGTAAAAGAACTTTTTCCAAATGATTTCAAATTTCACAAGTACTGACATCTTAGGCTGAACTGTGCGCATACTACGAAGGACTTGGCCAAAGAAATTGCCTGTCCAACCTTGAGTTGCTTTTCATCATAATTTCCCACGAATCGCAAAGACAAATCGACCAAAAATGTGATCTGCCGATCAACCGTGGAATGTTTTTGCAAGGAACATAGGCACTGATAAAGGCACAGTC